TTTTACGAGTACATCCTCAACATTGCCACGTGGCCTTGCGATTGGTCTATTAGCGAGTTGTAGTGTTATTGATGTTGAGTTGACTTCACCTAGTCCCAATTTCCTGTAAGCAAAATATGACATTAGATTGATACTAGCACCAGTGTCACACAATGCATTAGTTGAATAGGAATTTCCAATTGAAACTGGTAAAGTAAAGCTCCCTGGATCCTTCACTTTAGGAGGCAATTTTCTCTGGATTCTTGCACTACTTTCCTCAGTTAATACCACAGTTTCAAACTCTAGAAGCTTTCTTTTCTTTGTCAACATCTCTTTCAAACATTTCTTATAGCTTGGAGTTTGTAGTATCGCATCTATGAATGGAACATTGATCTGGAGCTTCTTGAGAACATCGAGAAATTTTTCATAGTTTGTGTCTTGTTTGTTCTTCTTGAGCTTTTGAGGAAAGGGAATGGGAGGCATGTAAGATTTTTCTAGACTTAGTGCTTTGGCAGCTGATGTTTCTGTACTTTCTCCATTTCCAGTTGCGTTTGGTACAGATTTTTCTACCCTTGTAGCTTCATCAATCACTTCTTAGTCATCTTTTCTTTTGGGTCTCTCTATAGTGATCTCTGGCACTTGTACCTTGCTCTTTGTATTTATGACATGAATATTTTGCTCCATCAACTTCTTTCAAAGTCTTTGGGGAAATGGAAGTGGAGGTACATATGCTTTAACTTTTAAGGGAGCTCTGGGTGGATCGTTCTCCACTACTTTAATTGCCATCAATTGTTCCTTAGGATTTATCATTGTATTACCTGGCAATGTCCCTTGTGGACGTTCTACAAGTTGTTGTGCTATCTGACAAATCTGTGTCTCCAATTTCTTGATGGATGCCTGCTAATTTTGAAAGTTCGTGTCAATTTGTTAGAACACTTTGTCCGTCTTCTGCAAATATTATTGAAACATCTCCCCCAAACTTAGTCTTCTTTCTTGCTAGAAATTGTTACCATATGAGTTGAAATTACGGAAGCTATTTTGAATAAAGTTTACTTGTTCGTTTGAAGAAGTGAGCATCATGCAGCTCTCTGTAGTGTGATTTCTCCAACAATTCTCACATACTAAACTGGCCATCATTGCATTTGCTCCATGTGTTTGCAATTTTACAACTCTACCTGTTTTGTTAAAGCTGCTATCTGTGCATTGGTAGATGTTGTGCTATCTAATTCACACATTCATGCTGCCTTTGGTGGTACCACTCTTTCTGATGAGAACATTGAATGTGTGGTGGCAATTAACTCAAATAGGTCCATGGTTTGTTGCACTGATTTCCCTATGATTGATCCTCCAACAGAGGCATCAACTTGAGATTTTGACAATGGTGTTAGTCCGGTGTAGAAGTACTGCACTTGGTTTCCTTGAATGATTCCATGGTTTGGACATTTTTCATCAGCTCATTAAATCTATTCCATACCTCGTGATAGCTTTTTCCCTCTTTCTGTTGAAAAGTTTAAATTTCCAATCTGATTTTAGCTACTCTAGCTGGTGGGAAGAATTTGTTGCAGAATCTTCTGATCAATTCTTCCCATGTAGTAATGCTGGCATGAGGCTCCGCATCTAACCACTCCAATGCAGCTTCTCTCAATGTAAATGGAAATAGTCGTAATTTAATAGCATCTTCATTGACACCCGGAGCATGGAAGTTCTAACAATTTCTGAGAAATCTGGAGATATGTGTATTCGAATTCTCGTGAGGTAGCCCATAGAATTACAGGGTGTTGCTCATCAGGTTAATCCAATCTGGTCTGATCTGAAAGTTATTCACCCTAAAATCTGGATACACGATACTGGAGCGCATGGGTGCTGCTATAGGTGTCAGGAACATTGATACTGACAAATCACCTTCATTTATTTTCCCTCGCTCATGCTGTTGTTCCGGTGGTGCCACTCTTGTGGCTATTTGTCCAATCAGTTGAATAGAGATATGGATTTGTTGATTGTCAGCCACTTGACGTTGCTATTTTTGTTTGTGTTCCTTGCGTCTTCGTCTGAAGGTACGTTCAATCTCCGAATCAAACGGTTCAAGATCATCGCCTTGGGCACGGAGCATACAACAAACACAATTTTCTGTAAATAAAAGAAAAATAAAATAAAATAAATACCAGTTAAAATAAAAAAATATTTGAGACTAGAAGAAATAGTCCTCGGCAACGGCACCAAAAACTTGTTGTAAAATTTTATTTCGCAAGTGTACGACCGGTAACAATTAATAGTGGACCTAGGAGTCCGGTTTATCGATCCCACAAGGACTATTTTCTAGCACTTAATTCAATCTTTCTTTAACTACTATTTGACTAACACAAATCAAAGGTTGTAAAATCTGGGTTTTAATCTAAATTCTAGAAAATAAATGAATGTTCACACAACTGGTTGGAGAATCAAATAATGAATGAATGTTAGGGTAGAATAACTTCACCAATTGATCACCTTTACATCTCAAATTAAAACTCAATTCTAATGTAGTGCTCGGTTGAATTCTCCTGTTGTATTCAATTTACCCCTCTCGAGTTCTTATTGAGCCTATTCAACTAATTAAATTTCATATCTCTATGCAAATTCAACTTAGTTAAACGAGTTCTATGTCTTAGGAATTCAATTATGACTGTAATAAATGGTATAGGTATCTCTACTTGTTTTACCAATATACTGGATTTTACTACATGGTCTAAATCCTAAACTCATATCTCTATTTGTAAAGATTTCACAAAAATCATCAAATTATTGATCAGATAATTTAATGCATTCAACTCATAGCAAAATCAACACATGGAAGAATTAAAAACTGAAAGTCTTAATAAGAAAATGTAAAAGATCCCAATAGGTTACATTACTCCCCCTAACAATGAATTTAACTACTCATAATACAGAAGAAAAGTAGGAATTTGTCTTAGAATACATCACCGAGTTTGTAATAAAGATGTAGAAGAAAAAGTAGAATTCTTGCACCAAGGTCTCCTTCCTCTTCCAATGAATGCTTCTAATCTTCAATTGCAGCGCCTAGGTGCTATAACACAGCACCTAAGTGCTGGTTATAGCACCTGGGCGCTATGTCTTCAGTGTCTAGGCGCTATGGTTGTAGCGCCTGGGCGCAATGATTGCGACACCTAGGCACTGCCTCTCGGTTCAAAATTTCATCTTTTTTCAGTTTCGTAGCGCCTAGGCGCTATGAATGCAGCACCTAAGCGCTATCTTTCTGCCCTAATTTTGTGTTTTTGGCCTCTTCGTTCACTTTAATACTTCTTTTCACATCACTTTTCTTAATCTTCAAAACAACACTAACAAACACATCAAAAAAGGTTCTATACTCACAAGATCTAACAAAAATCAAGCTAAAATTGTGCAAAAATCATGAGTGTAATAAACTCATCATGTACATGTTGCGGGTTCTTACAGAAAAAAACTTTGTTATTTGTACAATAATTTTTGACACGTTGTTTGACACTTGCATTATTGTCAAGTGTCAATTGAATGGGAAAATTGTTTGAAATTTAAACTATCCGGCAGGGTACTGTCACGTGGCAAAGTGTAAACTAAAGTGTACACTATAGTGTGCACATAGTAAGGTTCTTACCGATTGAACTTTGCTATCTATACACTGATTTTTGACACGTTGTTTGACACTTGCGTTGTTGTTAAGTGTCAATTGGATGGGAAAACTGTTTGAAATTTAAACGGTACAACAGGGTAATGACACGTGGCAAATGTTGACATGGTTGACTTCCGTCTATGTTTTTATTATAACAAACAAGATTTAATTTTGGTTCCAACAAACCTACTTTTGAATCATGATAGTTGAAATCAAATCAACCATCGCATCAAAATGAAGATTCATGCGTAGGACAAGATAAATGCACTTACGAAGAACGAAACGAAAGCCAATGTCAAGAGGACTCAAGATCGAAGTCATAAACCTTGATGATCAAGCATATTGAAGAAAATTATATTAGAACCCTTGAATTTATATGTAAAGGTATAACATTTTAATATTTAACAAAGAAGTCTCGGGAGTTGAAAATAAAATCATTCAAGGAAAAATCTATTTTTGAGAATTAAGCTACCGGACGGTTCGGTAGTGTACCGGACGATCCGGTAAAGGTCTTTGCCCAACGATCAAAATTTTTATCGTTCAGACACCTATCTCACCAATGGCTAGTAGCCTTGTCCAGTACGAACCGGACGGTCCGGTACACTTGTCTGGTGGGGCAGACTCTTGACTGTTAGGAAGATCTTTGAGAGCTATAAATACCACTTTCTCTTCACTATTCAAAATAACTATTCATGAGCATTAAGTGAAGTATTTTATTGATTCTCTCAACCTTATTTTTCACTCTTTTAAAGATCAAATCATTCATTTTTTAAAAAAACTTTTTGAGTGATCAAAAGTTGAAAAATCATTTATCTCAACTAAAGTTTTTCAATCAAAACACTTGAGCTACCTTCTTTGCTATCAATTAAAGTGTTTACCTACTTCTCTCTTATATTCAAACTAAGTCTATATCATTTAGTAAGAGAGAAGTTTTTCTCTTGTAATTTCAATTCTCTTATTTTTGGATTGTAGGTCGTTTTGAGGTCCCGAAAATCTCAATGGTGTAAAAGGATCAGTGCTCCTTGATTATAAGTCATCAGAAGCTTTGTAAAGGTTGGATTGCACCATAAATCAATCAAATATAGTGAAAAAGGCCTTGCTCATGATGGAGAGCTTGGTAATGGGGAACGTAGATCGTTAATTGGATCGAACCTCCTTATTACATCGTTTGCGCTCTCTCTTCCCTTCCTCTTATTATTTGTGTGATATCTTGCTTACTAATTATTTTAATTGTTATTTGCTTAAATTTGAACTTATTTTTGAAATTTTTTCAAATAACCAATTCACCTCCCCCCTCTTGGTTAGTTGTTCTTGGGCTATCAATTGGTATCAGAGCAAGGTTCTCTTTTTTTTTAAGATTATATAATCTTGAGCAATGGCTAACCAAGTTTTTCAAAATATTGATGGACACTCTACAAATCGGCCTCCTTTCTTTGATGGTACACATTATAACTATTGGAAGGCTCGGATGATGATATATGTTCAATCCATTGATTACAATATTTGGGAGGTTATAGAATATAGTTCATATGTTCCCACTAAGACTATTAAAGTAGACAGTAGACCGGACCAATCTCTCCCCAAATTTAGAGAAGAATACGATGATGAAGATAAGAGAAAACTATCATTAAATGCCAAGGCTAAAAATTTACTTTATTGTGCACTTGATAGAAATGAATTTAATCGAATTAATACATGTGATTCGGAATATGATATTTGGCATGCTCTTGAAGTTACTCATGTTGGTACAAGTAAAGTTAAAGAAATAAAGATAAATATACAAGTTAAGGAATTTGAAAATTTCTTTATGAAACAAAATGAGCCTATTGTTGACATGATTTCTCGTTATACCAATATTGTAAATGGTCTTAAAGGTTTTGATCATAAATTTACTAACGGTGAACTTGTGAGTAAAATGCTTAGGTCTTTATCGGAGGAATGGAGTCCATTGAGGATGTTGATCGAGAATACTAAGGATGTAAATAAATATCCTTTGGAAGAGCTCTACGGCACATTAATGACCTATGAGCTAAACAATGTCGATGTTAAGGAGAAAATGAGAAAAAGCAAGGAGGAATCCAAGGAGCCTCCTAAACGACAAATTGCATTAAAATTGACAATTGAAGAAGGAACATCAAATGAAAATATGATCGATGAAGAACTTGATGATTTGGTTCTTCTTGCCAAAAAATGGAAAGGTCTTCGTAATAATAGAAGATTCCAAAAGAAAGAAGAAAAAGGTGAAGATAGGAACAAAAAGATTGTTTTCTATGATTGTGACAAGTCGGGTCACAAGAGAACCGAGTGTCCAAACAAAAAGAAAAATTTCAAGAAAAAGGCACTCCAAGCCACATGGGATGATAGCGACAACGAAGAACAAAATGGGAATGATAGTCAAGATGAAGTGGCAAATATGTGCTTCATGGCAATCAAAGACGAGGTATGTTCTTATGATGAGCTTTCAATTTCTTATGATGAAATGCTTGAAAATTTTGAAAAACTCGCTTTAAATCATGCTATTCTTAAAAAGAAAAACTCTATTTTGGAAGAAGAAATTAAGAAAATTTTTGAAAAGCAAAAAGAGAGTTGTAGAACCCCAAATAATTCTAGACACCTTAGTGGCACTAAGACATGAATATTGGATGACTAAAGTATACTTCAGATTTTTAGTCTCATTTGAGACCCATTTACGACATAGAAAACATTCAATTTGGAAAATTATATCTAAAGAAAAATTTTAGCTCTTTGAGTTAGCTTTCTAATGCACTTTGAATTACCTTAATCGGATATCGGAAAAGGAAGTTATGATAGAAACACTTAAGGCTGTGCAGTGTCAATCGAACTACAACCGGTCGACGAAACTGCCTAAAATGAAAATTCTCGTTTTTCTCTAGAATTTAAATATTTATTTTCATCAATTATTTTCTCAAAGGGCCACCCACGTTTTTGGCAATAAAAACCCCACTAAATTGAAGCATTTAACCTCAAACTTAAATGTCACCCATGTTTTCTCACTTAAATGAAATTTGACCCTTCATTTGCTTTAAGTTATGGAATATTTACCTATAAATAGAGATCTCATTTCACTCATTTTTTCTCACACCAAAAGCAAGAGCTTTTACATACTAAAGAAAGAGTTTCCAAGAGAGAGAAAGAGAGGGAGGAAAACTATTTTTCCTAGAAGTTTAAGAAGTGTTTTCTAGCATCAATTCTCAATGGTTTTCAAACATCCAAGGAGTGCATTTCTTTCAACGTCCAAGTTTCATCGAAGTTTTCAATCCAAGTTTCATCGAAGTTTCAAAAAGATCAATCAAGATAGGTAGAGGTGCAATGTGTTTAATCGTGTTAAGTTATAAGTTTCGATTCATGTTAATGTTTGTATGTTAAATGGTACTCCGGTACGGCATATCTCTCTATGTTAATGGTTGTATGTCAAATGGTACTCCGGTACGGCATACCCCTCTATGTTGAAGAAATGTTCGTATGTCAAATCGTGTCCTCGGGTAAATGGTGCCTTCGGGTACGGCATGTATGAAAAGTTATAAAGTTACTGTTTTGAAATGTATAGATTGATCATGAATGTACCTATGACATCTATTGAGTTTTTCAACTCACGGGGTTTAATCCCATCTCTACCGATTGAAGGAATTCTACCTTGGGCATGGATGGAGGAGAAGATGGAGAGTGATGCAACGAGCCCATGGAAATCCAGTGAATAAGTGATTTGAATTTATTTTTATGAAATGTTTTCCAATGTTATTTCTTTAAAGTTTTGAATAACTTAGAATGCGAGAACAAGTTATGTTTTCTTCGAATAAATTACATTTTGTTGTTTTGAAAAATGATTCAGTGTTTTGTTTAAAGTATTTGAAGTATTGTTATTTAAATTATTATCTGAAGATGTAAGCTTCGGCTAAAATGTATACACTTGTTACTAAACCACCGGTTAAGCTAAGTAAGTAGCGTTCCGGTCCACTAGGGGTTGGGGCGTTACAAGAGTATTGATCATGACCTTTTGATAAAAGAAAAAATTTCTTTGAAAGAAAAGGTTAATGATTTAACAAAAATTATCCATAAGTTTACCGAAGGTGAGAAAAATTTTGATTTAATGCTCGGTAGTCAAAAGTGTGTTTTTGATAAAGGAGGAATTGGATACAAACCCTCTCTAAAACAAAAATCACTCAAAAGTATGTTTGTTAAGACTTCAAATATTTCATGTAGCTTTTGTAATAAAAGTGGACATATTGCTTTTAATTGTGTAACTAAAACGAAATTATTCTTTGTGAACAAATACAAGTGGATACAAGAATCCACAAAAAACTAACTATCAAGGACCCAAATTTGTGTGGGTACCAAAAGTCAAAACTCAATTTTCCTTGTAGGTACCGAAGAAAATAAAAAGTAAGTGGTTCTTGGATAGTGGATGCTCGAAGCATATGATCGGAGACCGATCATTATTCTCAAACTTTCAAGAGAAGGATGGAGGCCATGTGACCTTTGGAGATAATACCAAAGGTAAAATAATCGGCATTGGAAATATTGGTAACCACTCATCCCCCTCTATTGAAAATATTTTACTCGTTGATAATCTTAAACATAATTTACTAAGCATTAGTCAATTATGTGGCAAAGGTTATAACATAAAATTCGATTCTTTCAAATGCCTTATTAAGGATGCTACTTCGAAAGAGGTAATTTTTATAGGAAGCCGAAGTAAAGATGTTTATTTTATAAACATTGAATTGGAAAATAATGAAAAATGTTTACTTAGCTTGAAAGAAGAATCATGGTCATGGCATAGAAGGCTTGGACATGTAAACATGGATCTTTTTTCAAAAATTTCCAAAAATTGTTTTGTAAAAGGTTTACCGAATTTGAAATTTGAAAAAGATAAAATTTGTGGTGTTTGTTAATTTGGAAAACAAGTAAAAAGCTCTTTCAAACCAAAACTTTATACTTCAACCACAAAACCATTACAACTTCTCCATATGGATCTTTTTGGACCTTCTAGGACGGCTAGCTTAGGTGGTAAACATTATGCTTTTGTTATTGTCGATGATTTTTCAAGATTTACTTAGGTTATATTTTTAAGCTTAAAAGAAAAAGCTTTGAAAACTTTTAAAAATTTTTGTAAGAAAGTTGAAAATGAAAAAGACTATTCTATTTCAACTATTAGAAGTGACCATGGTGCAGAATTTGATGATTTTTGTAAAGAACATGGATATGAACATAATTTTTCGGCTCCTGGAACACCTCAACAAAATGGTGTAGTAGAAAGGAAGAATCGTACATTGCAAGAAATGGCTCGAACTATGTTAAATGAAAATAACTTGCCTAAATATTTTTGGGCCAAAGCCGTTAATATCGCTTGCTACATTATCAATAGAGTATTAGTAAGCAAAAGGAAAACTAAAACTCCTTACGAACTTTGGAAAAATAGAATTCCAAATATTAGTTATTTCAAAGTTTTTGGATATAAATGTTTGATTTTAAATACAAAAGACAATTTGGGAAAATTCAACTCCAAATCCGATATTGGAATTTTCTTGGGATATTCATCGACTAGCAAAGCATATAGAGTTTTTAACAAACGAACTCTAGTCGTTGAAGAATCCATGCATGTTACTTTTGTTGAAACTAACTCATCTGATCGAGAGAAAGGTAGTGATCACGATGTAGGTTTGGAAGCTCCTTTCGAACAAATGAAAATTCAAGACCAAAATAAGGAGGCACCAAATGGAGACATAGAAAAGTCAAATGCTCAAGAAAATGAAGAAAGACAAAATGGAGAACAAAGTGATCTCTCGTTACCAAAAGAATGGAGGTTTGTTCCATCTCATCCCAAATAGCTAATAATTGGCGATCCATCAAAAAGTATCACTGCTAGAACCTCTTACAAAAATCATTTTGGTAGTTGTGCATTTATTTCTCAAATCGAACCTAAGAATTTCAAAGAAGCCGAGTTTGATGAGTTTTGGATTCTAGCGATGCAAGACGAATTAAATCAATTTGAAAGAAACCATGTTTGGGACTTAGCCACTAGACCTAACAATCAAACCATTATTGGAACAAAATGGGTTTTTAGAATTGAAAGAGATGAAAATGGAATAATTGTGCATAACAAGGCTAGATTAGTGGCCCAAGGTTACAATCAAGAAGAAGGTATCGATTTTGAAGAAACATTTGCACCCATAGCAAGATTAGAATACATTCGTATACTTCTTGTATTTGCATGTTACAAAGATTTTACACTTTATCAAATGGATGTTAAGAGTGCTTTTTTAAATGGTTTTATTCAAGAAGAAGATTTTGTTGAGCAACCTCCCGGTTTTAAAGATCTCAAGTATCCGAATCATGTATTTAAACTTCAAAAAGCTCTTTACGGTTTGAAACAAGCTCCCAGAGCTTGGTACGAACGGTTGAACAAATTTCTTCTCTCAAATGGTTTTTCGATTGGAAAAGCGTATACTACACTTTTTATAAAAACTCATAAAATGATATGCTCATGTTCAAATTTATGTTGACGATATTATTTTTGGCACTACAAATATACATCTTTGTGAAGAATTTTCAAAATGTATGAGTAAAGAATTTGAAATGAGCATGATCGGTAAGTTAAAAAAATTTCTTGGCCTTCAAATTAAACAAATGAAAGAAGGAATTTTCAGAAATCAAAATAAATACATATTAGACATGCTTAAGAAATTTGACATGCATGACATCAAGCTTATGAACACATCTATGAGCACATCACTAAAGCTTGATAAGGATGATCTGTGGACGTCACAAAATATGGAGATATGATCGAATCCCTTCTTTATTTAACTACTAGTAGGCCCAATATTATATTTAGTGTTTGCCTAGTGCTCGCTTTCAATCTAATCCTAAAGAATCACACTTAAAGGCCGTAAAAAGAATTTTTCATTATCTAAGTGGTATGAGAACTTTAGGACTTTGGTATCCAAAAGGCACTCATATTGACTTAATTAATTATTCGGATGCTGATTGGGCCAAATCTAATGTTGATCGTAAAAGCACAAGTGGAAATTATTACTTTTTAGGCTTTACACTTGTGTCTTGGTCTAGTAAGAAACAAAATTCTGTTGCACTATCTACAATCAAGGCAAAATATATCTCGGTCGCTAGTTGTTTTGTACAAACACTTTAGATGAAACAAACTCTATGTGATTATCATTTGTCTTACATTCATGTGCCTATTTATTTGATAATACTAGTGCCATAAATTTGTCTAAAAATCTCGTCTTGTAAACATAGTGAGATTCGACACCATTTTCTCCATGATCACGTGCAAAAAGGAGATATTGAATTAGAATTTATAAAGACTGAGGACCAATTGGATGATATTCTCACCAAACCTCTTGTACACGATCGTTTCACATATATTCGAAGAGGTTTATGAATTATCGATGAAGATGAAGTTGAATGTGGTTAATTCTCCCTATCACGTTGATCAACGTCCATAGGCTTTTATAAAATTGTCCAAATTATTGCTTATTTATGACTTCATCATATTTCAGTATCTTAGTTAAAAAAAATTGTATCGGATAACAAAAACGGACCGTCCGGTACATACCAGACAAGGCCAACGGACTATTCGATACATTAGTCCATTTTTAACAGAAATTCTCTGCCGTACCGGACCGTTTGTATGATGTATCGAACCGTCTGGTAAAACGGGAAATCGTTTTCTTAAAACCGAACCAGTCATTTTCCTCCTCACTTCTCCTCATTTTCGAACTTCTCTCCCTCAATATCTTCTTCCTTCATCCTACAACATATTCCCACAACTTCTACACTCACTATTACTCAAAATCTCAAGCTATCATAGTTCGAACCCTAGCTCTTTCTTCATCAATTTTTCAAATTTTCCACCATACCAAGAGTGAAACGAGCAATAAATTGCCCCGAAAGGACTACTATACATCCTCCATCGAGCTCCTCTGATGAAGAAATGGATGAGGAACCCTTGGTACCTATGAACCCATTTGAGAAATCTCCCATTCTTATAGGTAAAAATGTCGATCATTCTGATTTTACAGTACTAACACCTGCATTTCACATTAAGGATTTCTTAGAAGACATGGGTTGGACCAATGTAGTCGGGATGAAAGAGAACGCATATCCTATGTTAATGAGAGAATTTTATCACTCAATGGTTATTCGGTCGGGCACAATTACGTGTTTTCTTAACAATGTGCATATCACTATTTCCAAAACACTCATTCGTGAAATTCTTGAGCTTGACATGTGTGAAACACAAATTTATCATCATAAGGCACATCCGTCGATAGAGGGTTATAATTCGAGTAATGCTTGTTGACATGTTACCGGAAAAGATTTTTAAAATATCAATAAAACTAGTACACATCACTTGAGTTTACCTTGCAAGGTTTTACAACACATTATCACCCATGTCATACTTCCTCGAAAAGGATATCGAGACGAAGTCAATTTCCTCGACCTATTTATTCTCAACTCTTTTCTTGTGAATCGAAAATTAGATTTTCCAGCTTTGGTTATTGAAACTATGGAACAAGTGCATACCTCTCGAAAAATCAAAGCTCTTCCATACGGCATGCTTTTAACCAAAATTTTCAAACACTTTCATGTGTTGTTGGACAATGAGCCTTTCATCCAATTACATCCAATCGACACAATTAACATCAAAATATTTGCACGAATGCAAATCACAAAGGAAAATAGTCAATGGGTAGTACACAAAAAGGGGTTTGATCCTACCTCCGGTCCATCCACTTTAGCTTTTGAAGGCGATGATGAGGATGATTTCAACGATGCTCAAATCCCTCCTTCCAATATTTTGAGCTCGAGTGGCCCTCGGCCATCGAGTAGAGGAAATAGCATGACCAAAGATCAATTTAACATCCTCAACGGCCGTATTGACTCTCTCACTTCCACCATCAATAGTTTTGGAAGTTTACTTCTCCTGCTTCAGGCACAACAAATGACTATCCAAGACCGACGGGCGGAGTTGCAAGCCCAATAAACTACCTTCTTTACTGATTTCTACTCTAGATTCCCTCCGGCACCATAGTTCATTCACCGTCATTTATAATGCTTGTCTTTATGCTTTCCCTTTGAACATTGCAGTACTATGCTTCTCTAACTATTTTTGGGCTTCATGCATTCTTATTAGACAAATCTATTTTGCTTCTATGTTCTTACATTCAACGGTTGACTTCTTTTTGCTTATGCCAAAAGGGGAAAGTGATATGTGGATGATTATGCAAAAATATGCCAAATGGAATAAATAGTGTAATGGTTAATTATGCATAATGTGTACGATTAAGGGGAAATATCTTCAATATATGATCATTGATGTGCAAAAGATAGGGGGAATACAGATATATATTTTTTAAATTTGTGAATCATTCGTCTTTTGCAAATCATCTTGTTTGTTATAATCAAAAAGGGGGAAATTGTTGACATGGTTGACTTCTGTCTATGTTTTGATTATAACAAACAAGATTTAATTTTGGTTCTAACAAACCTACTTTTGAATCATGATAGTTGAAATCAAATCAACCATTGCATCAAAATGAAGATTCATGCATAGGACAAGATAAATGCACTAACGAAGAAGGAAACGAATGCCAATGTCAAGAGGAATCAAGATCGAAGCCATAAATCATGATAATCGAGCATATTGAAGAAAATTATATTAGATCTCTTGAATTTATATGTAAAGGTATAAAATTTTAATATTTAGCAAAGAAGTTTCGGGAGCTCAAAATAAAATCATTCAAGGCAAAATCTATTTTTGAAAATTGAGCTACCGGACGGTCCGGTAGTATACCTAACAATTCGGTAAAGGTCTTTGCCCAACAGTCAAAATTTTTAATGTTTTGACACCTGTCTCACCAATGGCTAGTAGCCTTGTCCGGTACATACCAGAAGGCCTGTACACTTGTTCGGTGGGGGCAGATTCTTGACCGTTAGGAAGATCTTTGAGAGTTATAAATCCCACTTTTCTTCACTATTCAAAATAATTGTACATGCGCATTAAGTGAAGTATTTTATTGATTCTCTCAACCTTATTTTTCACTCTTTTAAAGATCAAATCATTCATTTATTAAAAAACTTTTTGAGTGATCAAAAGCTGAAAAATCATTTATCTCAATTAAAGTTTTTCAATCAAAACACTTGAGCTACCTTCTTTGCTATCAATTAAAGTGTTTACCTACTTCTCTCTTAGCAAGGTTCTTACCGATTGAACTTATCTATTTGTACACAGATTTTTGACACGTTGTTTGACACTTGCATTGATGTCAAGTGCCAATTGGATGGGAAAAGAGTTTGATATTTAAACTGTCCAACAGGGTAATCTCATGTGAAAAATTGTAAACTGAAGTGTACACCATAGTATACATGTAGCAAGGTTCTTAACAATTAAACTTTACTATTTGTACACTGATTTTTGGCACGTTGTTTGACACTTGCATTATTGTCAAGTGTCAATTGGATGGAAAAATTATTTGAAATTTACATTGTCCAATAGGGTATTGTCACGTGGAAAAGTGTAAACTAAAGTATACACCATAGTGTACATGTAGCAAGGTCCTTATCGATTGAACTTTGCTATATGAACACTGATTTTCGACACACTGTTTGACACATGCATTGTTGCCAAGTGTCAATTGGATGGGAAAATTGTTTGAAATTTAAATTGTCCAATAGTGTAATGACATGTGGCAAAGTGCAAACTAAAGTATATGCCATAGTGTAACTGTAGCAAGGTTCTTACCGATTGAACTTTGTTGTTTGTACACTAATTTTGGACACGTTGTTTGACACTAGCATTGTTGTCAAG